ATACCAACAAGAACGACGATATTACAAAAAGCCTGAGGGGCCTAAACAAACTCGCAAAGATCCTCAAGAGGAAGAGGATAGAAAACGGGTAAGGAAAGAGGAGTTGGTGAACAATAGATGAACTAATGTACAGCTTCCAAAGTGTTTCATTTGATTTCTTATTATAAATGACACTTTAAACCACGGAGGTTAACTTCTGTGTTTCTCTGTCCTCAGGGCGCTGACGCTGTCCTCCTTAGAGGTTCGCTTCCACATCGACAGTGAAACCCACGACCCGATTGACCTGCAAACTAAAGAACTCAAGTAAGCAGCTTTCCCAACAACCCTTTAACTGAAGCCTTTACTTAACAAACCAAAAAATATGTACCTTTTCATCTCTGTCTTAATGATAACTTCTTCCTTATCAGGGAGACCAACTCCATGGTAGAGGAGTTTATGTTGCTCGCCAATATTTCAGTCGCACAGAAGATTTATGATGAGTTTCCAGAGTGTGCTTTACTGAGGAAACATCCAGCGCCGCCTCCATCTAACTACGACATCCTGATGAAGGCTGCAAAGTCCAAGGTTAGATCAAACAATAAGGCTTTTGGTTCAGTACCTTAGAAATGAGTAAGAATATTAAGGCAAGGCAAGGCGAAGTTATTTGTATAGCAAAATTCAGTACAAAGACAATGCAAAGTGCTTTACATGATTAAAATATAGGAAAATAAAACAGAATCAAAGCAAGTAGGAAACAAAAAAATACATAAAATAAAAAATGCAGAAACAAAAAAGAATATTAAAAACAGTTGGACTAAAGAGAATAAAAAAGTTGAACTGTTAGAAGCGTTTGCCTCAGAGAAGATATAAAAAATCTCTAAATCTCAATATAAAAAAAACAAGCTGCCACTTTATTTACAGTTTTATGCTCTTTACTTTTAGCATGTCTGGTCAAACTTTTGCAGCAAGTTCTAGTTTTTTTGGATGTTGCAGCATCATGTCATCCTGGGAAACCTCAAATAGAAATGTAAATCCCTTTATTGTCCCAAAATGGGGACATTTGTCCTCTGCATTTTGACCCATCCCCTTGGGGAGCAGTGGGCTGCCATTGTGTGGTGCCCAGGGAGCAGTGCAGGGTTAAGGGTTTTACTCAGGAACCCAGAGTGGAGGCTGTGGGGATCGAACCGGGCACTTGCAACCGTCTCAGAGCACAAGCGCACCTGCTCTAACCAGTAGCCCAACACTCTACCAATGGATGTCAAATGGATAATGCAGAGCACTGAATGATTAGAGCACTTTATTCTAATGCTGAGCGTATGGAAGCTGTGTGAAACTGACTGGTCTGTGGATTTCTGTTTCTGTGTCTGATCAGAATGTGACGATCCACGTGGATTCAGCCAAGGCTCTGGCCGATTCCCTGGACGGGGCCAAAGTGGATGGTTTCCAGTATTTTAACACACTCCTGCGCATATTAGCCACCCGCTGCATGATGCAGGCCGTCTATTTCTGCTCTGGCATGGACAGTGACTTCCACCATTACGGTCTGGCCTCGCCCATTTATACACACTTCACCTCTCCCATTAGGAGGTATTGAAATTCATGTTTTACAGAAATATTTTTTAAAAATCGTACTTTTGTTTCTTGTAGTTACTGTTTGATCTCTCTGCAGGTATGCTGACATCATAGTGCACCGCCTGCTGGCGGTGGCCATAGGAGCAGACAGCACCTACCCTGACTTGATGGACAAACACAAACAGTCGGCACTTTGCAACAACCTGAACTACAGACACAAAATGTCTCAGTACGCGCAGAGAGCGTCTGTTGCCTTCCACACACAGGTACACATGTGAAAGCACTGCTGTCTGTAGACAGGAGGAAAAGTGTGATCTCTACTATGTGTTGACTCTTGCTCTTGCCTGTTATAGCTGTTCTTCAAGACCCGGGGAATACTCAATGAAGAGGGATTCGTTCTGTTCGTGAGGAAGAATGCGATCATCGTTTTGATCCCGAAGTTCGGTCTGGAAGGAACCGTCTTCTTCGACTCCAAAGACAAAGCTTCACCTAAACTTGTTTTTGACGAAGAGGTACAGACCATCCGCCTCGGTTTGCTTTGCAACCTGGTGGTTTATTTCTCCTCAGATTACTGATAAAGATGGATCCTGTGTTTACGTGTCCAGGGTCCCACTCTGAAGGTGGAGCAGCACACGTTCAACATATTCGACAAGGTGAAGGTTACCATCAGCCTGGATGACTCCAACATTCAGCACCAGAAGATCCGCATGGCTCTAATAGAACCAGTGGTAAGAACCGTTTATTTTAACTCCTATTTATAGTATTTAATTAATAACTGGTAACATGCTCATTTACTCCAATTTATAATGTTCCTGACATTTGAGCACAAATATTGTATTAAATTGAAACCTCCCAACTATTAACATAGCAAACTCTGAAATTTGATTTTAGTTGTAAGAATAAGAGCAGGTTTATAGCTTTTAGAAGCATTTTACTTTTTCATAAACAATTCAAGAATCTAGCAGTTGGTTGCTGACAAATTTCTCTGCTTTAGAGAGTGTGCTATGGATCAGTAGGCAAAAAATACAGAGAAATTGTTTAAATCAATCTGTGATACAGTTAATCATGTACATTTAATATAAATTAATTCAAAAGAAAATTTATAAAGTGGGCATAAATATTTTTTCTTTTTAGAACAAGGTTTAAAAAAATATTTCCATCTTTAAGAGGGAAAAAAGGCAGCTCTTCAGTATATCATCTTTACAGAGGTGTCAAGTAACGAAGTTCAAATACTTTGTTACTGTACTTAAGTACACTTTTTAGGTATCTATACTCCATTGCCTATTTTTCTTCCTACCTCAGACTTCTACTCATTACATTTTCACACAAGTATCTGTACTTTCTATTCCTTAGATTTTTAAAACAAATGTTACTCGTTACTCTTGGCTTCGGTTAATGCAGAGGTCACAGGTCAGCAGACCGCAGTCCGGATCTGGACCTACCTGCTGGCTAATCTGGACCCAACTTGATTTAAAAAATTTATAAATTGCCACATGTTGTCTGATAACAGTGTCTAAACGTCACTTGTGCTGCTTCTCCTGTTTCCCTGAAATCCCACATCCTCCGTCACCGCTCCGCCCCGCAGCATCCAGACCTCCTGCGCAAAGCAAAGCCTAAAGCCTCCACTGTTCATCCCGTATTGCTGCTCTCCAACTTGTCCTCGGAGCTCGAGGATAGCATGCGTGATATTATCATTAAATTTATAGGAGCGAAACATAAGAGATGAATGCGTAATTTAATATATTAAAAAAACTCCCAATCAGCATCCAGCATATATGCAGTTTCTGATGGAGATGAGAAATCTGCACGATTGTTCTCTACTTAAAAAAAAAAACACTTTAGATTTTAAAATGGGAAAAAAAGTTGTTTTTTTAATTAAAAAAATTCAATGTATAACATGGATGTAAAAACACCTCATTTTATTTCCGTGTTAAATTCTGTTTAAAGTAACCGATCATTAAAAATGTCTCCAGACCTTTACTGGTTGATGATTTTCTTTATCCGGACCCCGCTGATTTTTAATTGGTTATCCTTGTTTTAATTTTTATAAATATTTATTTTACATCATGTGCGCCATCCAATGCAGATCATTGGCGCCATTCACATCTAGTGAAATGAGTCATATAACGCAAACACTCATTGGTTAGCTATGTGCCAAATTTATGCTGACGCCAAAGTAAATCATCAGAAGCAAGCAGGTGTTCTTCAAACTGTAAACGTGAATTATCTATGCCATGCTAAGATGTTAGATTGTCTGAAAGGTCGGACACAGGCGAGAGCGTATCGGGAGACGGAGACCAACAAGACCTCCCTCATCCTTGGCCCTATCTCAAAGAATTTTTAGAAATAGCCAAAAAATTGAGCTTTTAATTCATATAGTGGCATCTGGCTGTGTTTTTTCTTTAAAGGTTACTTTATACTTTAAGTAGTTTTTGTACCACATACTTTTTCACTTTTACTTGAATAAAGAGGTCAAGTTGATACTTCAACTTTTACCAGAGTGTTTTTAAACTGCAGTATCTATACTTTTACTTAAGTAACAAATGTGTGTACTTTTGACACCAATGCATATTTAAAGCTGGTCAGTAACCACAGGCATCATTTTTAATCCTGAGTATATTTCATACTTGTCAGATTGGACAAGTAAAATTGGATTTGTGAGTAAATAAACCAAAATTTCTGAAAATGTTTAATTTGTGCAGTCTGATAAGAATTTGTGGAAGTTCTATTTTTTAGGTCTGCTACAAATCAATTATCTGTGTGTAAATTTCTGCTCAGTTTTAACTTAAAGAATTTGGACCATTTTCTGCTCCCCTCAGCTGATTGGTCAATGTCATATCAGTCAGAAGTAAAACAAGCCAATTAGAGGATAAAATGTCATGAACCCAAAACTCACACAGCAACTTTAGCTTATTTCTAACAGGGACTCTTTATATGTGGTATAAGTCATTGTATTTAGTGTACATTTGTTATTGAAAAAAACAATGAATGCTTAATTGTATTTAAGATTGTTCCTGATAACTTTTTATTTAATTTAACAGATCCCTGGTGTTAGTGTTCCTGTACCTGAGGCAGAACCACAAGCCAAGAAACAAAAACTGGACCGCTGACCGGAGGGCTGTAATTCACCTGGGAAATCAACACAAGATTCCAGCTACTTCTCTACTAATTAAAGATCAATTGTTGTGTTTAGAGCAAGTATGCTGCTCATTTAGGAAATTCAAGAAAGAAACAGGACCCATTTTTATTTGTAAAACATTTCTTTTTGGAGTTAAAATATCTGCTGGTCCAAATAAATCGGCGCACATCTAATGGCACCACTTTCAAAGACCAAAGAATGATTTGGTGATATTGCTACTGTGTTTTTTTTTTATTTATTTTTTTTATCTGAATTGTCACTGAACGCAAAAATAATCTGTCCTGCAAATAAACTGATGACTCAATTTGTCTCCTTTAGGCAAGGATGAAGAATTGAAAGTCCTTTAATTTTAAAATCTCATGTAGAAAAAATAAAAACATTTTTTGAAATAAAAAGGGCTCAATCTTTCCATCCTGTGTACTGATTAAAAAATTACATATAAAATCCAAAGGCTGATGTACAAAAATATTAATTAGAAGAACAGGAAGTGTGTGTTAGAAAAACTAAATTGTTTTATAAATATACAGTACTACAAGTCGGTCAAGTCTGCACCAATTAACAGGTGTCAAAATACAGCATTGAAAAAAAAGGTCACTTATGTGCAACTCAGACATAATTCCCAAACTTTATGAAACCACTGCATCGTAACTAAAAACTTCAGTGGTTTACAGAATGGCTGAAATAACCTGCAAACATCCCTTTAATTAATCATACAGATGTAGAGAATTGTTTTAGTCAGCAGGCTGACTTCTACCAAAAGATGCTGGTTAATGTTAAACGTTTCTAAACAGTCTCAGCCTTTGAGATAGATCTGAAAAAAAAAATGGTAAACTTCAGCTGGAGGAGCGCTCCCTTTGAGGTAGGAATCAGGTAAGGCAGTGGGGAGGATAAAATGCCTGAAAAAGAAAGGAAAAAAACGTATGATGTCAAATGCATTATCCCTAAGAAATACTAAATATACTATTAAAGCACCGCTTTGTGGTATTTCATTGGCTGAAAACAAATGTCTCTAGATAAGGTTCAGTAAAAAGGGTTAAATGAGCAAAATCAGGGTAAAGAAACATAGTTTTCAGTTTCTGAACAAAATCTTAATATTGGTTCTAAATGTATCCTAATTAAGAGATTTAGCTCATTAAAAGTCACAACTGATGATTTCCCTCACCTTAACCTTAGTCAATCGAGAGGAGGGAAATGCTTCTTCTACCAGGTTGGAACAGAGGGACTCTTTGCTCTGACAGTCGGAGCTGATGCCATCGATGAGGCTAGCTGTGCCAGCTGAGGTGGTGTTATAGCCACTGTCCACCTGCATAACATTGGCATTTAATCAGTTGTGGAAACAACGAAATAAAGATTTAAAAGTGTGCTGTTGTCGGGTTTCTCTCCTACCTGCATGCTGGAGTCATATCGGATGCTGCTTCCTTCTGCCAGTAGAGAGACAAACATCTGAGAGCTTTCTGATGCCGACACGTTTCCCATACGTGAGCTGGTCAGCTGTTCTGAAGAGCCTCCGGCTTCATCATCCTCCTCCTCGATCTTTTTTATTAGTTCAATCTCTTTTCTTTTTTCTGCTTTCACAGCCTCAATAGCGGCCAGGTTGATTCTCTCCAGGGCAGCGGAGCGGCCGTATGTTGCCAGAGGGGATGTTGGATCTAGCTCCATGGCTGGGAGAGAGGATGAGGAAGTGAAGGCAGGATGTTCTTCAGCCTCCTGATCATCTTGAAGCTTTGGATAAAGGATTGGCGAGATCAAGGGAGGGGAAGCCCAGCAGCGCACTCTAGGTCTGGGCTTGGGTTTGGAAGCGTGAAGAGGCTCATGTTGGTAATGGAGCTGGTGAGGGGAGCAGCTCCGGATCGGGGAGCAGCCTTCCACAAACGGGCTCTCCTTAGTGAGGGCTGTGTCCAGCGTAGCTCCGCGTGGGGTTAAGTTGGCGTGCTGTTTCCGCTCACCTAAAAAGATCCAGATTAAAATGAAGAAAAATCAACCTAAATCACCCCAGTTTCTTAAAGCTTGGATTTAGAAAAATCTGTTAAGAAGCAAATGTTCTACCTGAGCCTATGGGGGTCCGTGCCATGGGAACAATAGGAGAAACGGTCGGGGAGATGTGGCCTGCAGGAGAAGACCTATCAGGAAACAGAGGGCTAGTGATGCTGCCGAGGCTGCAGTCTCTGAAGCAGCCCTGCTGGATGGGACTGGATGAGAACTGGTCCTATAGACAGACATAAAATGTATGAACTTGCACCAATTTCTGCCCAAGATATATATATATATATATATATATATATATATATATATACATACAGGTGCTGGTCATAAAATTAGAATATCATGAAAAAGTAGATTGATTTCAGTAATTCCATTTAAAAAGTGAAACTTGTATATTATATTCATACATTACATACCAACTCATATATTTCAGATGTTTATTTTGTTTAATTTTGATGATTACAAATGAAAATCTCAAATTCATCATATCAGAAAATTAGAATATTACTGAAGACCAATAAAAACAAAGGATTTATAGAAATGTTGGCCAACTGAAAAGTATGAACATGAAAAGTATGAGCATGTACAGCACTCAGTATTTAGTTGGGCCTCCTTTGGCCTGTATTACTGCAGCAATGCGGCGTGGCATGGAGTCGATCAGTCTGTGGCACTGCTCAGGTGTTATGATAGCCCAGGTTGCTCTAATAGTGGCTTTTAGCTCTTCTGAATTGTTGGGTCTGGTGTATTGCATCTTCTTCTTCACAATACCCCATAGATTTTCTATGGGGTTAAGGTCAGGAGAGTTTGCTGGCCAATTAAGAACAGGGATACCATGGTCCTTCAACCAGGTACTGGTAGCTTTGGCACTGTGTGCAGGTGCCAAGTCCTGTTGGAAAATGAAATCTGCATCTCCAAAAAGTTGGTCAGCTGCAGGAAGCATGAAGTGCTCTAAAACTTCCTGGTATGTGGCTGCGTTGACCCTGGACCTCAGAAAACACAATGGACCAACACCAGCAGATGACATGGCACCCCAAACCATCACTGACTGTGGAAACTTTACACTGGACTTCAAGCAACGTGGATGAAGTGCCTCTCTTCTTTTCCTCCAGACTCTGGGACCTTGATTTCCAAAGGAAATGCAAAATTTACTTTCATCAGAGAACATGACTTTGGACCACTCACCAGCAGTCCAGTCCTGTTTCTCTTTAGCCCAGGCAAGACGCTTCTGACGCTGTCTGTGGTTCAAGAGTGGCTTGACACAAGGAATGCGACAGCAGAAACCCATGTCTTTCATACGTCTGTGTGTGGTGGTTCTTGAAGCACTCACTCCAGCTGCAGTCCACTCTTTGTGAATCTCCCCCACATTTTTGAATGGGTTTTGTTTCACAATCCTCTCCAGGGTGCGGTTATCTCTCTTGCTTGTACACTTTTTTCGACCACATCTTTTCCTTCCCTTCGCCTCTCTATTAATGTGCTTGGACACTGAGCTCTGTGAACAGCCAGCCTCTTTAGCGATGACCTTTTGTGTCTTGCCCTCCTTGTGCAAGGTGTCGATGGTCGTCTTTTGGACAACTGTCAAGTCAGCAGTCTTCCCCATGATTGTGTAGCCTATAGAACTAGACTGAAAGACCATTTAAAGGCTTTTGCAGGTGGTTTGAGTTAATTAGCTGATTAGAGTGTGGCACCAGGGGCCATCAATTTTGAACCTTTTCACAATATTCTAATTTTCTGATATGATGAATTTGAGATTTTCATTTGTTGTCATTTGTAATCATCAAAATTAAACAAAATAAACATCTGAAATATATGAGTTTGTATGTAATGTATGAATATAATATACAAGTTTCACTTTTTAAATGGAATTACTGAAATCAATCTACTTTTTCATGATATTCTAATTTTATGACCAGCACCTGTATATATATATATATATATATATATATATATATATATATATGAAAAAACATTATCTCTAAAAATTCTCAACGTACTGTTGAGGGAGTCTTTTCCGACCTGCCACGGACATGAGGAGACTGAAAGACAGGTGTTAAAGTTTCCCTTTCAACATCTTGGCCTCCAGCTCCTGCTCTGTCATGGGGAGACGGGCCTTCAAACCTGCCGTTAGCTCTCTCTGGGCTCGGTGGGGTGGAGCTGTCAGAGCTGCTGTAGCTGAAATGACCGTCCAGGAAGAGCTTACGTCTCAAGGAGGAGGAACTGAGGCTCTCCTGCACGGCATCACATGCCTCCTCGTAGCGATAGTATTCTCCTGAGGCCAATAAACATTGTAAAAACATAAAAAAACCTGAAACAGATGCTCCCACTTTGAATCGAACTAATCTTACCGAGTAATTTCTCCAAATCAAAAGCCAAAGGTAGTGAAAGTGTCGTCTGGCAGGCAACTGTAAATAAAATGGAAGCAAATTAGCAGGCTAAGAGATGTCACTAAAATAAGCTAAAGTTCACTTAGAGATTAGTAAACAAGCTGGTTCTGAGTAACACTTTTTTTTTTCTACCTACGCATGTAAACTGCAAAAAATATATATTTTTAAAGTGTGACAGATTTTGATAATAGATGAGTATGTCATTGATCCAAAAGATTAAGAATATCTCACAAATTGTCATTTTTATGAAACCAACTTTTCTTCTTTTTTTTGGCTTTCCATTTTCTTAACTTAAAAAAAGAAGTTACTTTCATTTTTTATTTAAAAGACAAACAAAAAAAGTCATATGGATCAATCCCTGGTTCTTGCAGCCGTAAGAATTCTACACCTGCAATAGAAACTCTGCAGAAAGATCAACAATTCACATGAGTTTATGCTACTAGAATAAAATAATTTAACAAATCTTAATCTGTGACACCATCAAATGCAGACGGCATTGAAAACAAACACAGAACTTAAAACTATTTGCATGGAAATATGAAAGAGAAGCAGAACTCGACTAATGAACGGACTTTTGTGCAGAAGGTTAACCAACCTGAGATTTTTTCAGACTCCTCTGAGATTGTTGCAGTATAAGGACCTAAAAAATAAATGAAAAAATGCATAAAAAAAAAAAGATATCTCACACCCAGCTTTCCTATAAGATGACTTACTTTTCTTGTACAGTTGAGGGGCTCTGCGGGTTTCTGGTTCTGCCCAGGGGGAAGGCACAATGGCTCCTTTAGTGAAGAACTGTTTTCGGTAGATATAAAATGCATCATTATTTAAGCAGGAATCTATTAGTATAAGAACACCTCATACTGCAGGATAAGCACTGATATAGTCACATCCATTACCTGGTCTATAGCAATCTGACATTTTTCCTCAATGTCAGAATCCATCCTGAAATAAAGTGAAATAGATCAAGGTTAAAGATGAACTAATTCTTTTCAAACCTCTTTTCTTTCCTCAGTAATTTAAGCCTTTTTAATCAGATTTAATGCCTAACAACACATACCTTGTCTGGCTGAGGTAGAATGATTGCCGCTGGATTTCCTCTGGGTCTATGTGCACTGGTAGAAGACTGGCCATTTCATCGATAGACCAGTTAAACTTTGGTGGAGTCTGGAAAACATAAGAAAAGCTTCATATTCTACTACTCATATACTACTACTCTACCTATCCATTCAACTTTAACATTTTAACCACAAAGATCTCTGCATTTCATAGGGATTATGTGCTACATACCTACATAAAGCAGTGGACAACCATGAAGTATATGGAAAAAATGTTTTAAACATATAATTTAGGAAGGTGTAGCATCCATCTGGATTTCACCTTCCTACTCCAATATAAAGATAGGCGATTATAATAAAACCACTAAATCTTCCAATTATTAAATACAATGGTCATCTAAATATGTGTACACCTCAATGCTTAGGTATATTTCGTTGCACCCCTGTGGAGCAATGACAAATAAAGAATTCTGATTCTGATATGTGGGCTGTAGAATGGGCTGTCCCAATGATAAATAAATTAAATCCATTTAAATGCAAAACACAGCGTATGGCATAGAAAAACTACCACATATTACTCTCAGCACGCCCTTGGTGTGGGAACTCTTCTTAGGGAAGCCTTCAGCAGGTATAGAGAAGCTGCTCAAACAGGTTAACATGGTACAGCTAAAAAAAAAAAAAAAATCCCCCAATAACTGGGGCTGGGGTTCTGCCTCTTTATTAGTTAGAACGGCCTAGTCAAAGTACAGACATTATCAGATCTGTAGAGGCTCCATCCCAACTGATTGAACTCAAGCTTTTCAAGAATGGATGGTAGGGATGTGCCCCCAAAAAGACTTCATTTTTAATATTTGTTTATTTAAAAAAATATGGAAATAAACTTTACAATCATGCACAACAAAGTGTTGATAGGTCACATAGAAACCTTATAAAATGCTTGGAAATATTTCATCAGAGCATAAAATGCTATTAAGTTACATGTCTCTACAAAATCAGATTAATCAGAATCAACTTTACTGTAAAGAAAACTTAAAATGGAGGGTAGATTTTTGACCAGGATGTGTGTGTTAATAGAATAGGGATGTGTGTGTTATGCAATCAAATCAAGCAGGTTTAAAATGATGTAATTGGACTAAGGATTTAAAAACTTACAGCCTTTGAGGGCTTGGACTTGAAGACAGAGGGGCTGGGGACCAGAGGCTCCCTCAGGTGATGGTAATCATTGGGACTCTCAAAGGGATTTCTGATGGAAGGCCTTCCTGGAGTCTCTGGAGTGATCTCTACCTCGATATGATCGCCCATAATAGCTTCAAACATAGAATATTTCTCTCAGTGTAAAATAAAACGAACATTTCAAACACAAAACTTTCTAAAGAGAGAAACTACAGTGAATGCAACTCGGTACCTTTTAAAGGAACTTTGCTTGCACACGTTTAAAAACGTCATTTAAAAAGTGCAGACAGACAAACGTCGTTTAAAAAGTGCAGACAGAAAAAATAAGCACTATAAATCATTTGTTAGTACTTACAGTTGCTTACAGGTCGAACCACTGATTTTTTTATGAGAAGTGGTTGTAGCACGGATCCAGCTAGAAACAGTTCAAACGTTCATTTCAATTTTCTCCACACAAAGCCAGCCAACCAATAGAAATTGGACCGGATGTTCTCGGCAGCCAATGAGCAATCCTCTAACGTCACTTCCTCCCCCCTAGCGTTGATGCGCTAAACTGTGCAAGCTAGCTAGCTACCTTTTTAGCTGGTAATAAGAACTGTCAGTGGTTTCCATAGTTTTAATTTAGCAGTGTCATATATAAACTAGTAAGATCACTGAAAAATTCAACTGAATTGTAGGAATTTAAATATCTTTCATTTGTTTTCTGATTTTTTAGAATTCGCTGTATATGAGATTTCTGGTTAGCTCCTCGCTAGCAGGTTGTTTCAGTTAATCAATATGGCAAGTGCAACAAACACAAACCTGAACGCAGTCCGTGAAACAATGGATGGTAAGTACGAAATACTAACACGGTAAGAGTTTAGTAAAACTGATTTTTTGAATCATATTCGCAAGAGGTTGGGGAACAGACATGGTCTGTGTTGAGAAATCATCGCAAGTATCTGAGTGACAACATAATGACAAACGTTAAGAAGCAAATAAATGATTACGTATAACATGAAAATACTCTAGTTATGTTATATGTAATCATTCATTTTATAGTGATGGTGAGATAAAGCCTCGTGAGGCGTTGAACCATTTGGGCAAATTCCCTTATTTATGAAGCCTAATGGGAATATGTCACCACCTACTGGTGTACGGAGCCCCTCTGATGACATGGTCAAAAAAAAATTTAATTGTGGCCACGAAGTAGTATTTCGTGGCCACGCAATAAGTATAACGTGTGCACGAAATACTACTTCGTGGCCACGCAATAAGTTTAACGTGCGCACCAAATACTTATTAATAATATTATCATTCCTGGACAACTGGGTAAGCAAATCGAGCGCGCCTTCTCTAAGGTCTAAGGCGCGCTCGATTTGCTTACCCAGTTGGTCTCCGCCAGTCACGTGACATTTGTTGCTGAGACGCCATTTGAGGTGGAAAAGGCGTAGGGTAAACAACCGCAGCATAGCTAAACGAAGGACTAAAGGCCCTTTTACATACAGTAACAGCCTGTCCAAGATAAGTCATTACAGTTAACATAAGCCTGAAAACAGAGGCGGATTTATTGATATTAATAAGTATTTCGTGCAAACGTTAAACTTATTGCGTGGCCACGAAGTAGTATTTCGTGCGCACGTTATACTTATTGCGTGGCCGCGAAGTAGTATTTCGTGCGCACGTTATACTTATTGCGTGGCCGCGAAATACTACTTTGTGGCCACAATAAAAAATTTTTTTTGTCCATGTCATCAGAGGGGCTCCGTAGGTGTAGTGCAGAACTACAGTTAGCAATATAATTGTCTTTTTTTTTTGCAATTGTTTTTTTTGTATTTTTTCCCCCCTATTTAAGTTCCTTTGAATTTTTTTCATGATTGTTCTGTATAATAACATTTTGGATCTTTTTTTGTGTGTGCATAAATGTCCATAAAGAGAACAATCTTTTAAGCTTCAATGTTTTTCTGTCCTTCTAATGAAATAAGCTCAAGCAGACAATGAAAGTTCTCGTGCAAATTGGGCAATGATGAGCAAAAGGAACAGTGTTAATCTTTTTTATCCAAAAATGTTCGTTTTTGCACAGTTTTTGGTTTAATCTGGTTCAAAGTTATGCGTCTAACCAATATTTTGTTTAAACCAACCAATTTAACTTGACTGTGCTTTTACCCAGTCTATATTGGTAAAAGAGCAAACCAATACAAATTGGTCATATTGGCCAAAATACTAGTTAATGTTATAGCAATTTTCAAAATCTAAAGCAGGACTTGATCCAACAACCTTTGGGTTGTGAGTCAAAGTCTTACAGCTCATGCCACTACTTCCCGAAGCGGTTACATGGTATGGAGGTAATGAAGCTTTGGACATCATCAATTTTGGCCCCTCCCCTAAATGAAGCAAGCCTCAATATGCGCTTTGAGGAAACTCCCCGTCCACTACTGGACACGCTTTGAAGCCTTGGCTCATCTCATAACATCACTAATTTTCAAAAATAAGCATGAGCAATAAGTAAATTTCTTTTATATACATTATCTATTATATAATGTACAAAAATATGTTTCTTAATGTTCATAACACAACTGGCAGTATTAAAGATATTTGTAGCATAATACAACTTTGATGGCAACCATCAGTGTTTTTGATTTATTTAGTCAGATCCATTCTACTGGTGTCTCCTAAAAACTAAATACCCCAACATTTCAGGTTATTCTGTACAGTTGAACTTTTCTTGTCAACAGCAAACTTCTCTTTAGGAGATGTGCATTCCTATTTTGAGCATTGTTGGTATTTTTTACTTGTTACAGTGAATTAATCTAACCTTCTTTCTTCACCAACAGTTTTGCTTGAGATCTCAAGGTTGTTGAACACTGGTTTGGACATGGAGTCCCTGTCAATCTGTGTTCGACTATGCGAGCAGGGTATTAACCCAGAAGCCCTCTCTGCAGTCATCAAAGAGCTTCGAAAGGCATCTGAGACTCTCAAGGTAAAGCACCAACCTAAGTTTTCATATTTCTGAGAGGAAAAGTATGCAAAATGAATTAATATGGGTTACTAACTTACCCTTAATATGAGTAAGTTAGTGTACAACATCAAACAGCACTTGGGATTGGAGTGGGTCTAAACATGATAATGACAGTGTGAAAATGTGCAAAAGCTTCTGTTAGGGATAGTGTACCTCTTACTGGCCTGGATGAGTTAAACTTTAAGCCATCACCGTGTTTATCAATTTTATTAAAGCATCTAAAAAACTGGGTTAACCTTTCTGGTACAGTGCTGGACTGCGTTCAGGGCGTTTTTGTGTCAGTAGGTCACTTTACATTAGAAACAACAAAAATCACATGCAGTGTTCCCCAAAGGTCCACCTTACTCTTAGTCCAATAGTCTTTAGAGCAAAAGAAGTGTTTAAAAAATGGCACACAGTCTCAGTTAATCCAGTGCGAAATCTCAAATCAGGCTCTAAATCTGGGTGTAACGATGTACTCAAATCTTAACCTTCATAGGCACATAAAGATATTGACCAAATTTGCCTTTTATCACCTGATATCTCCAGGATGAAAGGACTAATGTCTCAGAAGGACCTTGACTAACGAATTATTGTGTTCATCTTTGGTCCAACTGATTACACTAAAGGGGTCTTCATAGGTCTACCTGACAAGTTGATCCAGACTGCTACTGCTTTCCTTCTCACTAAACCAAAGAAAGTGGAGCACATGAGGCCAGTTCTAAAATCTTTACATTGGCTCCTGGTATCTCAAAAGCTAGAATTAAAGATAGTTCTGTTAATCAATAAGTCACTGACTGTCTTTGCTCCAAAATACATCACAGACCCGCTGCATCAACTAATGGCCCAGACATCTTTTGTCATATAGATGAAATTTACTCTGTATACCCCCAAAACCAAAAAAGGAAAAGCAGCCTTTAATTCTTATGCTCCACTTATCTGGAAAGCTGTAGAAGCAGTGAAACGCTGAGTTGCTATAAATCAAAAAACATTTGTTTAGAGTGGCCTCTTGGCTGTGCTAACACTGTTAAGTTTCCGATCTAACTTTGACTGAATTTTCTTAATCATTCAATCTTTTTTCATATAATTCTGCTATTTTAATGCATCATTTTCATTCTCTTTAGTTATTTTTGTTGCCTCATTACAACAGCAATGTACTTGCCTTTTTTCTCATGTGCAGCACTTTGAGATTTCATCACTAAAATGTGCTGTATAAATAAACTTGGTTTGCCATCCTGGTGCCTGATGGTTAGAGCTTCCTTCTTTTAGAGTTGGTTATATTTATGTGTTTTATTTTCTTTCAGGTTTCTGAGAACTGTCCAAACTGAGGATGCAAATAGAGCTGGCTATCTGTAGTTGGGATCATGGACTGTTCCTGAGTCTGTGGGAGAGGATGGCTCTCCAGCTGAGTCCGATTTATTGTGGCACATTGTCATCTCCTCCTCCTCCCCAGTGACTAATAGGTTGTCTGATTCTGCCCCAAAATGTTTGGGTTTTCATAAAGAGCTACCAAACTGTGTCTTTTATGTTAATATGGTTCTTGTAGACTGAGATGATCCATCTCACAGAGAAGTTGTGATGTGTGGGTTTAAGTTGGCAGCAACATCCAGCATTTCATTCTAGAGAAAATTTGTTTAATTTTTCATGTAATTATTCTTTACTTGTGTTTTCAAATATGCTTGGATTTTCATTGATATGTTTACTTTTTTCTGTGTTGTTGTTTTTTTCATTCAAACAATATCCTTTGGACATATGCAATCATTCTTGGAATGCTTATGAATAAGAGAATAAAATTAAATATGTAATATTTGTGACCACTAGGTGGAGATGTGTGATTCTTTTTTCATTGATAAGGTCTCCATGTGACCCATGAAAATTGTATCTTACTTCCATTTTTTCTTATTCATGGATGCTGAACTTTCATGAAATACAATCTGTTAACTGAAATATGTTGACTAAATAATGTAATTAAGTAAAATGGTTGTAAAGGTTTAATGGTTTAGATATTTGCAAAACTTTTACTAAAATGTAAGTGTATAATGGACTGATAGTGTTGCACAAAATGATTATAAACAATGGAGGAGTGATTACATCCACAGCCAACAACGTACTGCACAAAACAAATCTGCAAAGGTCACTCCTTGGAACGGGATGTCCTGTTGATCTAAAATCTCTATTCTGACTCATTAAAATTATTCTTTCCAAAGAATAGTTTTAATCAAATTGCAAACTGGACAAAAATATATCTTTGATCTCCCAGAAAGCTTCCAGATCAGACATCTAACCAGACAGCATTGTTTTGCTTGCCCACAGTGTGTAAAATAACTCTATTCATCTTCTAGACGAGGGAAAATGCTGAGAGCACAGAACATTTACAGGGCAATATATGTGAGCTCTCCTATCAACCCTGGCTTCTATCTGGTGCGAGTGGTTGTGCTCCTCTGAGGCACATTGCACAGAAAACCAAGTGCACAGGAGTGTTTGTGTAAGCACTTCTGTCTTCTCCTGGTTGGTGACTGACAGATTGTGAGTCTA